GTGACCGGTAACATGGAAGCAAGGGAAGGACGCATGGCACAATACAAGGACCTTGTACTTGCCCTGTTGAAAGGCTTCGAAGAGTTCAAGATCGCCCAAATTCCCCGGGCGGAAAACGCGGATGCAGACCTTCTCTCCAAATTGACGCAGTATGCTCCCGAGCACGTTTCAAAACTTGCCCGGGTAGAGATCCTTGACCGTGCAAGCATCGAAAAATTGGAAGTCGCCGCTATAACGGCCGGTAACCAATTTGACCGGTCAAATTTGGTCGGGGCGGACGACCATTGGATGTATGATCTGATGGAATATTTGATGGATGGGAGCTTGCCAGAACAAGATGACCGGGCAAGAAAAGTGAAGCTCAGGGCACCCCGATTCCAGATTCTCGATGGAAAGCTGTATAAAAGGGCGTTTGGGGGGCCACTCCTGAGATGTCTAACCAACCGGGAGGCTGAGCGAGTCATAGCGGAGGTCCACGAAGGCGTATGCGCGGCGCATCAAATGTCCCGTACGCTTTCCCAGCGCATCATCTTGTTGGGGTATTACTGGCCAACAATTGTACAGGATTGTGAAAGGTACGTCCAGAAATGCAGGACGTGCCAAGTATTCTACAAGTATCCCGGTAGATCGGCGACCTACTACCACCCCGTAACGAATGTCATCCCATTCGCTAGATTCGGGGTTGATATCATTGGAGCCTTCCCAGTCGCCCAGGGAGGGAAGAAGTTTGTAATCGTAGCCATCGATTACTTCACCAAATGGATCGAGGCCGAAACATTGGCCAACATTACCACGCAACAATGCAAGAAATTCATTTGGAAGAACATCATCACGAGGTTTGGAGCGCCCATGAACCTCATCACCGACAACGGCCCACAATTCCGAAATCCAAGGTTCACTGAATACTTGGAGGGCTTCGGGATCAAGCACAATCGCTCCTCGGTAGCATACCCCCAAGGGATGGCCAAGTCGAAAACGCCAACCGAACGATTGTGGATGGTCTAAAGAAACGGCTGGGAGAAGCCGGGAACAAGTGGCTGGAAGAGCTCCCACACATCGTATGGGCATTCCGAGTAACACCCAGGAGGGCTCACGGGGAAACTCCATTCTCCCTAACCTATGGGTGTGAGGCAAGGCTGCCCATCGAAGCTGAATTCCCAACGTTTCGGGAATCAAATTATCAACCCCAACAAAATGAGGAAGATCACTTGGCCGAACTCAACTTGGTCGAAGAGCGGAGGATGGCCGCGGAAGTTAGAATGAGTACATACCAACAAGTTGTGAAGAAGTACCACGACAACAAGGTTGGGCCTCGGTACTTCCAAGTTGGAGATGAAGTCCTACGAAGAAGAGAAGCAAGTAGACCCGGCGATGGAGGAAAGCTGGCAAAAAACTGGGAAGGCCCATACAGGGTTAGAGCCATCATTCGACCAGGAACGTATCGATTAGAAACTTTAGATGGTGTACCGGTAGAAAGAACTTGGAATTCCCACCATCTTCGCAAGTTCTACAAATGATTGTAATACTAGGCGAGGCCTAAC